CTTATTGGGATTTTTTTTTATTTCATTAAGGGAGACACAAAATACAATTATTGTAAAATTTTTGCTAACAATTGATAAGTTTATAATTTGGTGGCATTATTTACATTCAGAACATTGTGCAAACCTCACAATGTACTATCAGTTTTTTTTTAAAAAAAAATGTCACCCAGTCAGAAGCTCTAGACACATTAGGCAATAAAGTTCCCCCAGACCCTGGAAACCGTCACCTCTCTCTGCATCTTCCTGGCCTAGAGGTTTCAGTAAGTGCAGTTATGTCATACTTGTCTTTTCGTACATGGCTTAGTTTACTGATCATGTTTTAAGGTTTATCTAAATTATAACGTACAATAATGCCATTGTTTTATGAGTGAATAACATTTTTATGTAGGTAAATATGGCATTTTTTTTATCCATTCCTCTTTTGAATGCTTGGGTCATTCTGGGTTTCTTTGGCAGGGGAGGGGTAGTTAGTATTAGCATATGCTGTAAATTTTGGATGCAGTATCTATAGGAGTTTCTGGTTTTAGTTCTTGATGTCTCCAAATATAGGCTTCCTGAGTCGTGCAGTAATTCTCTGCTGCAGCTCTGTTGTCAGAAGCCGCTGACCTGTGTTGTAGCCTTTGTGTTAGAGCAGGATTGCTGATTTTTCTTGTGGTTGTTGTTATTGTTGTTTTGGTTTGGTTTGGTTTTGGTTTTAATATTTTTGTATACACACATTTATTTTAAGTGAGAAAGGGAACTAATTCCAGCTGACACAGTACAGCCCTGTGAGCAGAAGTTTTTCCTGTGATGAGGCAGAGGGCAGAAGTTCATTATTTGACTCTCGATGTATTTTACATTATACTTACCAAAAGCTTATCAAAAAGTTCTGTCCATCATTGATGTCTATATAATGTCTAAAGCAATAGAAATCTGGTAGGTAAGAGAGGAGATAAAAAAAATGGTGGCCTCATTTCTTCTGTGCAGAAGTCCCCTTTCTAAGCAATTGCAGTAATAAGCCTAGAATTTTACTACTTGATTTTAAAACTATTCATGTTTTTTAACCTTTATTTTAGTGGCAGTGTTATAATGTATATTTTCAGAGTTTAAGTGCTTTCTTAGATCACTTTGAAGAGCATTGTGTGACAGAAAATATTGCAGCAGATATCTTTGGAAAGATGCTGAAAGCAATTTTAACATAATTAAAGAAGTCTTAGTAGAAGCAGCAATATCATTGTTGTAATTACCATTAATTGACTGGCTAGTAAAACAAAATAAAGGACACAACTCATTATTTATTTCAGAAGTTTTTTGAAAGAAAGTATGTTGGAATGATATCTTGAGAAAAATAGTTAAATTGAGAATATCTGATAAACATTCTTATACTAAATGCAGAAACTTTGCCATAAAAGTGGCCTTGTGTAGTCTGCACTTAGAGATGGTTGGACCAGTCTGAGATGACTCATAAACTACATTTCCCTTTGGTATGCATGTGCTCATCATATTTATGTATGTTGAACCTTACTGCCAACATGACAGAAACTAACTTAAGCCTTTTGTTGTGTGACCGTTGTAATGGTTATGACAGTATAACTGTGATATTACACATTTACCAGTTCAGTATGCTTTCAGCTTTAGGTATTTTATTCTATTGAGCTTATGAACAACTTTAAAGAAAATCTCCCAAACACATTTATTTTATATTTGACTTTAGAAAATCGGGGTTTGAAGAGAAGAATCTTATGCTGATAATTTCATGAAAATCCTCTTTATTTTTACTGAAGAAAAATATGATTTCCGAGTTGTTTTTAGCCTTTTCACTTAAAGCACATAGAAGTGTGCACTCACAGAAACAGAGACTGTACTTTTGTTGTTTAGCCACCCAGACCCAAATAATCACACAGAAGCTATATTAATTACTCTCTGTCCAGTGGTTCAAGCTTACTCCTAGCTAGCTCTTACATCTTAAGTTAACCCATAATTCTTGTCTGTGTTAGCCATGTGGCTTGGTACCTTTTATCAGTGAGGTGTTCTCATCTTGATTCCTCTGTGTTTTCCTGGTGACTGTAGACTGAGCCTTTTCTCTTCCCAGAATTCTCCTTGTCTGACTGCCCCACCTACTTCCTGCCTGGCTACTGGTCAGTCAGCATTGTACTAAACCACAAGGATGTTATTTCTGAATTACAATTTTTGCTGATGTAAACCTTGGTAATATAAAGCTTTTAATAACCTGATGGCGACCAAATTATCTTTAACAGTCTAGAGTTTTATTCAGGTAGGTGATTTTGAAAGTTGGAGTGCTATTTGTGTCTTTGACAGTTATCAAGATTCTGACCTGCAGGGCTGACTCCAGTGTTGGTTTTTATTCCAGCAGAGAAGGCTGGGTTAGGTGTAGTGAGCATCTCCTGGGTGAGTGGTTCCTGATGAGGCTCACTGTGAACAGCTAAAGCAAAGAAGGAAGGCATTGATTTTTGTTGTTGAAAATGCTTTAAAAGAGAACCTTCCCTCATGTGGCCCAATATTAAATATAGGGTAAATAAGCCAGAAAGGTAAGCTTGTCTGTTTCCATCTATAAAGTAACTGAAGAAATCACTCAAGGTATTTCCTCATATAAATTCATAGTTTCATTATTCTTCTCATAAATGAATGAAATTTTTGAAAAATTAAATTTTTTATAATAAAATTAATGTTTTAATTTAATTTACTAATTTATGAATATTGTCAGTAAGAAGTTCTATGTTACTTTACTCTGTAACCTATCTACAACAGACTTGGCTCTAACAGAGTTCTCCTCTTGGATCTGGCTTTGTATGTAATTTTCTCCCATATGTACCCCGTTTACTGCTTCTATTGCAGTTGAGGTTTCGTATGGTGGGCAGTATCTACAGCCCGGATGGACAGCTAGCAAGTCCACTAATTGGACTTCTGTGGTCTAGTCTATTCTCCAGGCTTACTATTTATTGATTTAATTGATGCCTTCTGCTTAATCAGAGGCCTTACCCACATGGAACTATTAAGCTTGGCATATAATGCAAGATCTGTGAAATGTAAACACTGCTCACAGGATGAGGACCTATAATCAAGCAAGGCCTCCTGTCATTGGGAAATAGCACAGCTGTACGAGACGTCGATTTTTGTTTGATCTTTCTCACAATGGACTTTTTAAATTATGTTTACTGAGATGTCCACATGTTAATATTTATTATGATAGTTCATCTCCTTTACTCCCTTTCTCTTTCCACCTCCTCCCCCTCCCTGCCCCTGAAGCATTTTCGCCCTTTATATCTATCTCCCTCCTACATTTGGCCACTAGCTTTATTCTGCCTTTTCTTTTTCTCAATTCTAACTTTCTTCTTTTGAACTAATCAAAGTCAGACCCCACCAAGTGTACTACTGACGCAGCTGGAAATAATCTAGCTTTTCCATTCCTTGGGCAGCACAGTTGGGAAATAAGGATTCTGCCTCTGTAGGGCATTCTGGAGACCTTGCTCCCAGCCCTTCTGTGTTCTGTTTGTGGCAGATCCTAATGGTTTCTTGAGAAAAAACAGGTTTCTTTTTCTTTCTTTCCTTCTTCTGTTTCTAATGCTACTATTCGTGTTTCCACAGCACCTTTCTCAGTGGTGTTGATAATGCCTCAGACACAGTAAACATGTGTGCTACCACTAAACCACATCACTGACCTTACTGGTTTTTAAATGTATTTACTTAAAGTGCAGAAAGTTGTATATTATTTCAATAATGTTTACATAATAGCTAAACAGCTCTCTACTTGATTTCCTGTTAGAAGTCATTAATTTAATAAATATGATCATTAAAAAGGCCGATCCCTCCCAAATAATCTGAAGTAGCTGTAAGCTCAAAACAAATGAGTGTGACCTTTATAAGAACACGAGGTTACATGAATTCCTGTTCAATACAAAGAGGAATTAGAGCTCAAATGTCTCTCTTTCTAGCTTCATCGGAAGTGAAACCTGTTCCTCACCCCATTTTCAGGTGCAGTCCTGGCAGCTCCATGCCTCTGACAAGCTACCATGTTTTCTTGTGTTAAATCATCTGCCCTTAGTTGTCCTCGGCGTTGGAGCCATCCCATTTCTCTTACATTTTCTGACTTTTGTAGCTGAAAGTTCTATGCTGTGTTGTAGACGGAGAATGATCTTTCGTTTCTCGGCTGCCCAAACCTGAATAATCACACAGAAACTATATTAATTACAACACTGTTTGGCCTATTAGCTCAGACTTCTCATTAACCAACTCTTAGATTTTAAATTAATCCATTTTTATTGATCTGTGTCTCACCAGAAGACTGGTTTACCAGGTAAGGTTCTGTTCTGGGATATTTCTCCTTCAATAGCTACATGGCTCTTTATTAACCAATAGTATAAAACATATTCACAGTTTACAGAGGTGATCCCATATCACTGTGTGTAATTGTGATATATTTAGTTATTATTACACATGTAAATTTAAATGTTTGAGTATTGTGTTGGCTTATTGATATTCTGTTGTATGTTTATAATGTTAAAATTTCATAACTAAAAATTGCTTTCAAGAACTCTACAGTAGTATGATTATAGAATTAGCTCATCATATGACTTTAGTATTATATGCATACAGTTAATAATAACAACATTGATATTTTGAAGTACAGTTGAATTTTTTTGTTTTGGGGGGGATTTTGTTGTTATTGTTTTTTGTTTTTGATTTTTTGAGACAGGGTTTCTCTGTAGCTTTGGAGTCTGTTCTGGAACTGGCTTTTGTAGACCAGGCTGACCTGCCTCCACCGCATCACCACCGCAAGACTCATTTGATTGTTTTTTGATTGTGATAAACAGAAAACCATAACAATAGTATTTGAAGAAAATAGACTTTAAAAAGCATCAAAAATTTATTCTAAATGTAACAGTTTGATGTCTGTTTTCTCATTTATCAGTCTTGCTGTAGGTATTGGCATCCCATTTCTTCAAATATTTCTCATTATGTGTCAGAGACCTCACATACGCGTGTCTCTTCCTCTGTTGCAGTGAATCAGGCAGCAAAGGAGGACACGATGGTGGTGAAGGTTGGTTCTGTTGCCATGGCTCCCCAGGCTGATAACCCACTTGGCAGGTCTGTCCTCAGGAAAGATATATACCAGTAAGTTGATTTTCTAATGTTCAGTCTTACAATGATTTTGTCCTGCAGAATACAGTGATCAATAAAACTCGCTTGGTGTGGCCTCTAGAAAATACTATTCACTGTGAATTGTTTGATATTCAAACCAGGCTTTTCTGATTTTCCTCAGTTGTGGGTTTCTACATTCATTCATACAAACCAAGTGTTCTGAAACGTTGATGGAGAGCAGAATGTAAGCGCCACGTCACCATAAACTGCAGGGAGCGTGCTTGGAAAACTTTAGCAGTCTTCATATTTGAGCAAATCTCTAATCACATAAGAAAATGAGGCCCTTTTCAGAGCTACCACTTCCTACTGGGGTCTTGTTGTATCCAAGCGGAACATTTTCTTAATTTAAGTATAAGTCATTATTTGACGTGCAGGCATTTGGGTGTCATGTGCATCAAAGTTGTAAAGAGAAGCAAACTTCTAAGGAGAAATTTCACAGTAAACACTTTCTGTGAAAATGCCAGGCTCTGGATTTTGTCACCAAGTGTTTGCAAACCACACCAAGCATATTCGGATGGCTCCACTGCTGAGCATATGCACTGAGCGAGGTAAAAATAGTGCGTAGCTCATACTGACGGTGGCACTGCTCAGACGTAGACTTCAATCGCAAATAGTGCCCAGTGAGAACAGTCACAGAAGTACAGACGGACAAGTAGATTTCTCGCTCTGCCTGCTGGTCTGGGCTTCAGATGTCATAGCCTTAGTCTTTCAAACACCTACTGCTGTCCAATAGTCACAGCTTTGGAAAGGTTCTACTTTAAGTATCACATTTACTGACTAGAAGATAGCAGGGTCTCCCTATATAGTCAAAGTTGACCCCAAAATCTTGATCCTAGTGCTTCAGCACTGTCTCCCAAGTCCTGAGGTCATAACTGTGCACCACAGTCCCATAAGATAGTTTCAAAAAGACCATCTTTAAGTGGATATAGATTTGATTTATAAAGTTTTTCTAATTTGCTTTGATTTACATATTGATCTCTTTCTTTTATTACTATTTTATGTAGTTTGTATTATTTATCTCCTTAGCTTTTACTTAGTTGAATTTATATGTGCTCGCTTCGGCAGCACATATACTAAAATTGTAAGTTGAATTTATATAACAATCCGAGGATATCAGAGCTCAGTGAGCCTTTAAAAATTTTCTAACCCATCTTTGGGATTTTAAAAATTAAAAATAGGAACTATTAAAAATAGCTATTGCTTGCCTAATATTGAATTAGCCTTAGATCTCTCAGGGCTGTTGGGATACAGCTCAGAGGTAAAGTGCTTGCCAGTAAGTCTGAGTCCTAGGCTTCAGTTTGTAGCCCTGTACTAGGCGAGGAAGGGAATAGAAGATAGGACTTCTACACTTTCTAACATTTAGAAATCCTTTCACACATTTATTTTCTGTATTTCAGGGATACATACATGGTCTTCATTTAAGGACTTATTTTACTTTTGTTGGAAAAAATTCTGTGTTAAAGATCCTTATGGCATTAGTGAAATAGACAATGAGACTTCCTGCCCTCCCCTTTGCCCCTCTCTTTCCAGTTTCAAACCCTTGTTGAAGGTGTTCTTGTTGTTTGGAACGCTGTTTGTAGTCAGTGAGCTGGTTCCCGTGGGTTTACTTCTCGTCCATCGTGGGCTTGTTTCTTTTCTTGCTTTTCCTTCTGAGTGCTCCCTTTAATGTCAGCATCCCTCGGGCTCCTTTTTTTCTCTTCTCTTCTCTTCTCTTCTCTTCTCTTCTCTTCTCTTCTCTTCTCTTCTCTTCTCTTCTCTTTTCTTTTCTTTTGCCTGTTTCTGCTTTCCTGGCTCAGGAGGAATTGAATTCCAAGCATGTCTAGTAACTTTGATGCCCCACATAGACTTGGCTTGCACTATGTGCCCGAGTGTCAAACACCTTAGAATTGTGGAGTCTATACATGTGCTAGAAACGGCAGGGTTTTTGCAATGCTCACATTCCCAGTCGCTTTCATGTAACTAAACTAACAGAGGTAACCCAGAAGTTCATCAGAAACATTTTAGGATCTCATTGAGATGCTGTGTCCTCGGTATCAGAACAGAAACTACCCGGCAATGAAGTAATCAGAGCAGGAGTGACTCATGTAGAAGAGAAATGCAGGCATAAAGCTAAAGCCCCTGCGTCCTAGGTCTCTGTTTAGTTTTTATAAATATTTTAACCATAAATCTCAGTGGACAAGGCTGAGAAGATTTGTATTATATGATTCCTGAATATCTGAAACTTTCAGATCACCAAAGATTCACAATAATAGTGAATTACTACTTCTCATGATATGGTATGAGGAAAATATTATGGAATAATTATTACATAAATAAGATTGTTTACAATTTTGGTCAGTGCAGCCTGTAGCCCACCCTCCCCTAGTGACTAAATAAAAATTCCTGTCATAATTTTGCCTTTATCTTTCAGAGAACACAGCCCTGTTCACCTCATCAGCTTTCAGATCCACTCATACTACTCCAGAGACTGGGCATAGGTATGCATGCATGCATACATACATACATACATACACATACATACATACGCATGCACACACACAGACATACTTACATGCTTTTATGATACCACAAGAATGCCTTTATGTTTCATGTGGGAATATAAAATGGCTTTCAAATTATCAGTCAGTTTCTTTTAAGATTAAAGATAGTTGTCATATGGTGCAGCAGCTCTGCTGTGTACCTGCGCGACCAAACAGAAGTTTGGAGTAAGATTATTCATAATAGTTTTAACTAAAGTAAAATCAACCTAAAGGCCCATCATAATGGTGAATGAAAAACCAAAATGTAGTATTACACATGATTGGCCATTATTCTGCCGTAGGAAGAAATGGAGTAATTATAAAGACTGTAGCATGGCTTGCCCTTCTGTGTAGCAGTGAGGAGGTAAGTTAACCTACAAGGTCAGAGCACATTACTCTAGAGATAATTTGGCATCTGGGGAAACCCGGACACATGTGCTGCACTCTATAGGACCTTTTCACAGCGTAACAACCAGCTAGAAGAAATTGATTTGCGTATTTCTTAAGAGACAAAGTCACACTAGAGGTATGTCAGCCCATACGTTGGTCACAAGTGAGCATGACTATTCTGCCTTTCAGATATGGTGAGCCAAAGCTGGGGTTTTTATTTTTATAGGAAACACTATTGGATTTTATTGAGAATGTATTTTTTCTTCTTTATGTTTATAATTCTATTTACTTCACAGACACAAGAGATATATAAGAGATGTTTAACATTCTTTTCTGATAATTCCATCTTTTTCATTTCTTGGTGACTCTTTAAAACAGAAATAAAGCAAGAATCAAAAAACATGGTTGCCAAAAGGAGAGAAAGCTTTAATAAGTAAAAGTCATTACTATTCTCTGTACCAGTTGTGTGTTGCTGTGGCAGTTTTTAGGCATTTTTGACACATGTATTATTTTTACAACTGTGTTCCACTTTAAAGAAACCTTTTTCAATATGACTGCATATGAATTTTGGTTGATGCAGAGGCTTATCTTTGGGTTTGGTTTTATTTCCACCGAAGAGCTCTCTCCTAGAGTGAGATGTTTGTGAGTACAGGGGAAAGCCTTGTCTTGGGGGCAGTCAACCAAAGTCTAGTTCCAGTTAGATTTCCTGTCTAAATGGCAAGAAAAGGTGTGCCTCTCAGGTGTGTGGGGGCAGTCTTGACTTTAGTGTGTTTATGTATGTTTTATATATAATAACAATTATAAAATATCAAGGAAATGTGACCTCTTATCAGGATACAAATAAGTCAAAATTAAATCACTAAGTGAAAGACCACCAAATAACACCATTGCCTTCCTTAATTGATCTCAATCTTTGTTTTTGACACATGGTTCCTCACTGAACTTGTAACTTGCTAATTGAAGTAGACGGGCTGGCCAACAGTCTCCGCATCCTCAGTGTTGAGATTATAGACGGTGCTGCTGTTAGTGCCCAGGCATCTGTATTGACCTGCTATTGGGGTCCTGACAGGATCCGTCCTCAGCTGCACCTCCTGTGCACATTGTTATGTGCCCTTTTAAAAGGTGGACCCGCCCACCTCCCATCTCTTCCTTTCTCTTTCTCTCCTTCTGCTTCTCTGCCAGTCTTTTTTATCTCTGTCTCTCTCTCTTTCTCTCTACCTCTTCTTTTCTGCTGCTACTGTCCCCAGAGACCCGTCTCCTCCCTTTTCCCATTCATTTTCCCCTAAAAACAAAACAAAACAAAAAACTCTCTACCCGAGCTCTGTTGCATGGAGTCTTCCTCTCATATGCCTCTCTTTCTTCTTTCTTTTTCTTTCTAATTACAACAGCTTTCTCACCTGGCTTTCACCTGAGTGCTGGGGCCTTACCTCTAGTCCTCGTGTCTGCAGGGCAAGCACATCTCCCTAGCCCCACTGTTAATTTTTTAATTAAGTGATACCTAAGTATGTGCAGTCTGAAATGGAGTTTTTCTTCTTACCGGTACTTATTCCAAATACCAGCACTTCATGCTATGTTCACTGTTCATCCTAAGGTCAGCTCTGGTTTAGCCCACTTTCTTCTAGAGTGTTTCTCTGTTGTCTTTAGTGTGTCCTCTACAAAGTGTTTACCTAGCTGGATTCGTGTTAACTCATTAAATCATTCTCTTCAGAAAAAAAAAATGCCTTTTTAAAACTAATATTTTATACAGCATAGGATTAAAGATTATTTTAATACTGATTTTTGTGTTGAACCAGCTGGATATTCAACGTTTTCACAGCTCTCTTACTGTAACTGTTCTTTAGACAGCTTTCTTACACTTCTTAGACCTGAGAGCATCATTTACACAATAAATAAAGTGTAAAAGCAAACATCAGTTGCCTCCTTCAGGGACAGATGTAGTAGTAGATCTGTTCTTGGAAACCGCTTTATCACTTGGTAGGTGAAGTTACTCTATTGTGTCTTGTTGCCATCTGAATCAGGAAGGCTGCACAAGTGAGTTCCCTTGTTACAGGAGTTTAGGCTCTC